GGCGGGTGGGTGGGAAGAGAATAGGAAAGGCATCCCCGGTCGGGCGTGGTTGTGCTGCAACTCTTTTTCCTCCATTTTCCCATTCCATCAGGATCTTCGACATGCACAAACAGGTGCCCAGAGTACTTGCTGAGCTGCGGGGACTGGATTTGAACTGTGGTGAGTTGTATGGGACCCAGCTCCTGAGCACGGTGCATAACCACGATTATATGGGCCGGCCCTAAAGACTGATTCTGAGTGTCTCTCATTATATGGATTTTAGTGTTTGCTCAAGGTATTACATTATATATATTTATCAAACTTTTTGCACCCCATTGGTGGTGTTACTTTACCCATTTTCAAGTGGAATGTAGACACCTGGGGGCCGGCAGGTGGTGTGGTGGTTAGGACACTGGACTCCCACAGGGCCAGCTGCATTCCGAGTCCCAGACCTAGCGGCTTGCTTTCTCACGTTCCCTTTCTCTCTCTGTCTGTCTTTCAAATTAAAAAATAATAGCAATAAATAAGATGAAATAAATAATTTTTTAAGAGATTTTTGCCTTAGGGCATGTGCACTTCCCAGAGAGAGAGAGAGGCAGAGACGGTGAGAGGAAAAATGAGAAATCACTCACTGAGGGGGATGGCCACACTGCAATTCCTTCTCCTCCATTCTCCTCTTGGGATCTTGGGCACGCATGCACACCTGACATGATTTTGAAGCCACTGGGTCCGGGACTTGAGTCACAGCCAGCCAAGTGGTAGTCTCCTTACGTAACTGCTATGTCATCAGCTTGTCCCAAGACAAAGCGTTCTTGTAAATCTTTTCACATCCTTTCGCCTCCCTCTATCTTTGTCTTTATAAAATAACCTTAAATGTTTCCTTCATGTGCCTTCACAACCACAGCAGGCATTGCTATGATTTTTGCTCAAGCTACCTAACAAAATTCAGAAAACTCAAGAAAACCTTATCATATTTGGTGACAAATTTCTTAGTTTTCCTCCATCTGAGAATATCTTGACTTCCCTCCGTCCTGGAGAACATGCTTTCTGGATACAGGATTCTGGCCTGGTAGTTTTCTTTGAGCGCTTGAAAACCATAGTGCCTCTTCCCTTGGTCTCCACGGTTTCAGACAAGGAATCCGTTCATTCCAATGACCGTTCCTCTACCTGTAAAGCGTCATTTCTGTCTGCTTTTGAGATTTTGTCTTTAATTTTCACAAGTTTCACTGTATGTCTTGGCATGTATTCCTCTGGGTTGATCCCATGTGGAATTCGCCCAGCTTCCTGAATCTGTCGGATTATGTCTCTTGCCAAAATTAGGAAGTTTTCCAGCCATTACTTTTTCAAATGCGTTTGCAGTCCTGTCTGTAGAGTTCTGTCTCCTCTCCTTTAAGGACTCCAGTGAGATGAATGTTCCCTGGTTCCTCAGCTGTGGACACTCTGTCCAGTCCCCAGGCCTGTCCGTGCTCAGATTCCTACCCCGTCTGAGCTGGCTGGTTCTTTCCTTGTCCTCCCTGGCCTGCTGTGGAGGCCGACTGAGGCGAGCTTCTCACTTTGGTTACTGCAGTTTTTAGTTCTAAAATGCTCACCTGTTCTCTGTATCTTCTTCCTCTTACTGACATTGTATTTATTTGTTTCAGGTGGGCTCAGAGTTTCTCCCTGGAGAATCCCTCCTGTGCTATGTAACTGCGGCCAGGAATTGGAGCATCTGCCCCAGCTCAGTCTAGCCATCACTCGTCACCTTTCTTCATTCATCCGGAGGTCTCTCTTGTTCTTGGTACGATGCATACATTTAAAAAATTCTTTTAGATTTTTTTTTTTCATAGGACCCATGCACTCACTGGAGAGACACCGAGAAAAAACATGAGAAGTCATCCCCCAGGGAAGCTGGCCATGCCGCAGTCCCTTCTCCGTTCTCCTCTAGGGATTCTGGGCACACACGCCTGGTGTTCTTCAAGCCACTCAGTCTGAGACTCCAACTGTGCAGTCGGCCCTCTGCCATCCAGCACCTTAACCCGTGCCACCTGCTGGCCCAGTCGATTTCGGTAATGACAGCCTGGTCTCACTGGCCGTCCCGGGCCACCATGTCACTGTCGGGCAGGAGCAGAGCCTAGCACCTTGCTTAGCTCAGCTGCCACCCAGAGGGAACGTGCCCTGAAACTGACGGCACGGACAGGAGTCGGGGCCCGCGTCTCCACCGCCTCCATGGTGAGGTCATTGCTGGCTGGTGCAGTGACAGTCCCGTACCCCACATGGCCTTCTCTGACATCCTGAGGGGTGTGGGTGGAGGGCTGAGCCTCCTCCCAGCCTCGGCTGTGTGGAGGGGGACCGCTCCCCTGCGGCGTCCGGCTCAGCAGTGCAGTTTGTCTGTTTTCTGCCTGGCGAGGTGGCCCCTTTCCTGCTCCGCTGGCAGAGAGTGGGCTCCAGGTGGGGTGTCCCGTGTGCCCTGGCTGGCCTTGCCAGATTGCTGGCCTCTTGAGCTCGACCTGTGGGAAATATGGGGCAGGAACACCCAGGGAAGGCCCTGCCGCCAGCATGCTGCCATGCGTGCTCTGATGGAGGTGCAGTGTTGGCTTAGACGTCGCTGTACACGACAGTGGCACGGGAGTGTCAGAAAGGAGTCCCAAGTGGCCCTGCGATTCCCACGGTCAGGACTGCAGCAGGTCAAAGTGACTGAGGAGTTGGGCATGCTGGGGTGGTGACAGCAGAGGGCCCTGTACCTGCACGGAATCACCCCTGCGAGGCTGTGGGCATCGAGTCCTCGTGGAGGAACTAGCCAGCAGGCCAGCTGCAACGTGGTGACAGACTGTGACACCCGAGTGCCCCGGAGACAGAGTGAGCAGCAAAGTGCTTCTCGAGCCTTCACTCCTCAGACTAGCCCTGAGGCCACTGGCTAAGAGGGCCGATCGTACACTCAGGACTCTGATGCGTGCCCAAATCCTAACAGGATGGAGAAATGGAGGAGGGACTGAGCGTGGCCACGCCCCATGGGAGCTGCTCCCGCCTCCTCTCTCTGGCAAGTCCACGCATCCCCTGGCAAAATTAAAAAAAAGAAAAAGTCACTGCTCTATAAACGGCCCCAGCCATAGCCATAGACTGAACATTCTACCTTACCCGGGCCTGAAATTCCGCTCTTGTCCACCTCCAAACAGCATGGGGTACAGGGGGGTGAGCTCGCCGAGCCCTCGTACGTACAGGGCACCGATCCTGGGACCATAGAACTGCAAGGAGAAGCCACTTATCCAACAGGAAGGCACAAGGACCCACTGTGACGCTGTGCTGTGTGGGCAAGGACACAGAACACACTCCGGGACGCAGTCCCCGGGCTTCCTGTGCCCTTGGGGTGCTCGCCCATCACTGCTTTGAACAAGCCGGAGCCACAGAAGCCTTCGGGTGCAGGACAGAGCCCGGGCCTAATGGGCCTTCCCTCCCTGCACGCCATGGGGTAGCATTCGTCGAAGGAGAGGCGCTGGGATTAGAGGTGGCCAGACCTTTTCCTGTGTGTGATTCCATGTTTAGGGTGATATGACACAAAGTGCACAGCGGCCACAGCAACAGGCCAGCCCGGGAACTCCTCTGCATGCTGGCTAAGGACCAAGGACCGAGCTTCACGGCGGATGCTCGCCAGGGACCAGAGGGGTGAGCAAAGGCTCCAGAGGGCTTCGCCGCTAAGTCCTCCCCACGCTCCGCTCACAGTGAGAGCTGCTGAAACCAAACCTCCCCGCCGAGGAGCTGCATGTCAGTGTAAGCCTTCTGTCCTGGGGTCTGTGTGTGGGCTGACAGGTCCTTGCAGAGAGCACTGGCCACCCCGCTCACCCGCCTGCCTTGACTCTCCTGCAGGCCCCAGGCCCCAGCTCTGCCTGCCCAGCCCTCCCGTCGCTGCTATCCCCGACACGGTCCTCAGCAACTGCATCCTGGCCCCTTGTTCTCTCCCCTCTCCGCAGCATCTGAGGTGCTGTCACAGGGCCCCAGGGCCTTGCTTTAAGGGCACTTGGGCCCCTGGACTGGAAAGTGAGGGATTGCTGCAGGAGCCTTTGCGGCAGCCAGCACCTTCGCCCCGGGGGGGCAGCCCGAGACACACCTTATGCCCCACGATGGTGAGGAAGTCCACGCCCAGGTCGTCCACGTCCACGCGCCGCTTCCCCAGGGCCTGTGCCGCGTCTGTGTGCACCAGGATGCGAGGCAGCCCCGAAGCCGCCCGCTTCTGGTTCAGGGCTCGAACCCGCTGACTGATTTCAGGGACAGGCTGCAGTGGGGACACACGGTGGAGCAAGTCGTTTTCAGTTTGTGGAGGACTGAACGAGAGGACTAAGAGGCAGTTAATGAGGACAGACAAGAAGTTACAAAATTGAAGAATGGGGAAAAAGAAGGGGCCCGAGTCCAGAAACATGAAAACCCAGCCCGAAACTAAGCCACCTTCCTCCCCCAAGATATTTTTGTGAAAACAAAGAGGCCAATCACCATGACCACGCCCGTCTCGTTGTTGGCCAGCATGATGGTCACGAGGCATGTGGTCGGGCGCACGGCCGCCAGGACGTCCTCGACTTCTGCCCGCCCGTGCACCGGGGACACTGGGACGAAGGTGACTGCTGAGGTCAAACACAGTGCTGAGGTTAACCGCCAGACGGACTGTCCCGACGCCGCGTCTAGCTACGGCTCAGCAAAACTGCTTTCCAAGGACCAGCTGGTGGTTGAGGCTGCCGGGCCTCACACAGGCAACTATGCGGTTCGAGTCTCAGACCTGGTGACTCGAAGGGGCACATGGGCACATGTGCGTGCCCAATATCTCAAGAGGAGAAGAAGGGAGGAGAAGGGACTGAGGTTGGCCATCTCTCCCGGCTCTCTGGTGAGCACACATACCCTATGGCAAATTAAAAGGGAAAAGGGAGAGAAAAAATCAAGCAAGCTATTTTCCAGGTATAAAAGTAACATAGTGAAAGCTCAGAAAACTACAAATAAATAAATAAATAAAAGCCACCCACCATTACCATCACCCCGAAATAACCACGGCCGAGGGCTGCAGCCCCAGTCGGGGGGTTTCCTCCACGGAGCACACGCCTGCGAAGACCCCTCCACCTCTGACGGTCTCACAGCCATGGCCGCGCTCCCTCCCTCGGGCCTGCGCCGCCTTCGTGGAGCGGCTCAGGCCGGCGTTTCCAGCAAGAGTGCCGAGACGGCTGTGTGGCCACGAGCAGCGACCCAGCCTGGACCTGCGCCTCACACCACGCGTGAAGGTAACTCACAGTGCACCGGGACCGAGCCAAGTCAGACTACAGAACTTCTTTGTAATTGCTGGAGGGCATGTGCACTTGCCAGAGAGAGAGAGAGAGACAGAGAGACAGAGAGAGAGAGAGAGAGAGAGAGAGCTGGCCGCACAGCGAGGCATGTCATTTTCCATCCCGTCTGCTTCACTTCCCCTCTGTCAGGATTCAGGCCCCATGCCTGCACACGGGTCTCGTATTTATCAAGCCACTGAGGCTGGGACTCGAACCACGGTGGGCCGCGTGGGAGATGGCTCCCTTACGTACTAAGCTATGGGACCGTCCCAAACTATAACAATCTTACAAGGATAGACAGGAGTAAATGTTCATAACCTTGACCAGGACAAAGCCTAATTATATATGACAAAAGGAACCGAAAAAAAATTAATTGAATGACACACACACACGCAAAAACCAAACTTATCTTTTTTTCAGAGATTCCATAAAGGGAGAGACAAGAAGACACTAAGAATGGGAGAAAATATCTGCAAATCATATATCTCATAAAGAACTTGTCCAGCCTATATATTTTAAAAAGCCTTACAACTCAATTAAAAGCCAAGTGATTCCATTAAACTATGGGCAGGAATTTGAAAAAACATTCCTCCAAAGAAGAGATACACCAATGACCAATAAGTCCATAAAAACACACTTGGGGCCATTAGCCATTAGGGCAGCGCAAGTCAAACCACGAGTCACCACCTGTCGCCCACTAGGAGGCGCTAGTGAAAGCTGACAGTGGTGAGCGTGCGAGGGAACTGCAGCCCACACTCAGAGCGTAAATCGGTGCAGCTGTTGGGAGCAAGGTCAAGGTTGAACAGAGTTACCCAGAAGTCGTCAAAGACAGGGTTACCACGTGGCTGGCAGTCCTGCTCTTCGGGGTACGTGCCCCAGAGAACTGAAAACCAGCTCCCGCACAGCAGCCGTGGAGAGGCTCACAGCCCTACTCCTGACAGCGGGGTGGGAGTGACGCCCGTGCCCACCGGCTGAGGAGCGTGTGAGTGAGGCGTGCACACACCAACGCACCGCTGGTACTCATCCGTGGAAAGGAGCCTTAGAGAAGTACTTGGGTGCGCTGTGGGGGAGCCTTGCAGACATCCAGGAACGAAAGCAGTCAGCCACAGGAGTCTGCGATCTCACGTGATTCCATTCCGGGGACTCCAGGACAGGACGGTGACAGAGCTGAGTCACTGGCTGCCTGCAGCTGGAAAGGAGCGCTCACGGCTGGCTGGGGCACAGTTTTGCAGGGCGACGACACGCTCCGTAACTGACTGGTGACGGCTGTGGACCCCCACGCCTCAGAGGAGTGAAAACCATCTCATTAAAGCTGACTGGCAGAGACCTGCTGGGAGGCTGGAGGTGGAGGGAGTCCGAGGAAGCCTTCAGGAGGTCAAGGGTCTCCATGTTACACCAGCAAGTCGAGACACCCGGGCTCAAGTCAGTACCGAGAAATGAAGAGTATGTTGCCAGGGAACTTAGTACCGAAAATGCGAACGAGACGGTAACCACAAGGCAAACAGAGGGGTTGCCTCTGAGGACTGGGGGCAGGCAGGGGAGGAGCATTTCCCTTATTTTGTAAGTTTTTACCACAGGGCACATGTGCTCACCAGAGAGAGACAGAGATAAAGTGAGAAACCACCCCATGGGAGGATGACCACGCCACCATCCCTTCTTCTCTGTTCTCTTCTTGGTATTCTGGGCACAAAAGCACATATGCCTGCTGTGACTTTTCCAAGCCACCGGCTCCAGCACTTGAACCACGGTCTGTCATGTAGGAGCCAAGCGCCTTAACCACACCCCCTGCTGGTCCTGAACCATTGCCTTTTTTTTTTTTTTAAGAATTTATTTAATTTTATAAATAAATATATAAATTTTAAAATTTGACCAGAGAGGGACAGAGAGCAAGAGAGATGGAAAGTGAGAAAGTAAGCCACTAGGTCCAGGACTTGAACTGTGGCCAGCCAGCCACATGTGAGTCCAGCGCTCTTACCCACCATGCCACCTGCTGGTCTCTCTGAACCATTGCTTCTTACTTTACAACTTTTTGTAATGTTTTAACTACTTCCCTCACATACATGTCTATACTTCTGTAATCAAAAGGTTAAATGCAACAGTAACTACCAGTATACTGGTATGTTATACATAGTATACAACTTAGTATGTATACTAAGTTGCCTTGGTAAGATACAGGAAAAGATTCCAGGAATTAAAAGTAGCTACAAATATAAATAAGAAAGTTAGAGTTGACTTTTTCTTCTCACTGTTATTTGCTATAGGGCATGCAGTGGCCACAGACAGAGAACATGAGAAGTCGCCCCTTGGGGGATGGCCACGCTGCAGTCCCTTCTCCTCCAGCCTCCCCTTGCACACATGCACATGCGCCTGGCCTGATTTTCAAGCCACCAGGTCTGGGGCTCAACCTTGTTGTCAGCCAGGTGGGATCCAGGGCTTCACCTTCCATGCCACCTGCTGGCTCTGGGGCTTGACTTGTTTCTCTTTTCTTTTCTTTTTTAATAGTGCTAATAAATTTAATCTTGGAATCTAAATTCTTCATGGGAATATTTTCACTTATTGGCAAGAATTCAAGATAGACCATAAAGAGAAAACCATTTCGGGAACCAGCAGTTAGCGTAATGGCTATGTCGCTGGACTCCCATGTAGTCAACTGTGGTTCGCGTCCCGGACCCAGTGGCTTAAAACTCACACCGGGTGCATGTGCGTGCGTGCCCAAGATCCCGAGAGGAGAATGGAGGAGAAGGGATTGTGGCGTGACCATCCCCTCTGGGGGGTGATTTCTCGCTTTCTGTCTCTCTCTCTCTGCCTGGCAAGCACACGCGCCCTATAGCGAAAACCTCTCCAAAAAAAAAAAAAGAGAAAACCATTTCTAAGAGTCAGACAGGAGAACCGCTAAGAAGGGCTTCGTAGTCAGACCACAGTTCTGCTCTAACCCTTCGTCTGTTACTGTTTTGTTTTTGCTACAGTGTGCGCTCATGGTGGGGAGGGTAGGGAGAAATCGCCCCCCAAGGGGATGGCCCTCCATGTTCCCTTCTCCATTCTCCTCTTGGGATTCTGGGCACGCACATGCAGCAAAAAAAAGCCTGCCAGGTCCGAGACTCGAGCTGTGCTCAGCCGTACGAGAACTCAGTGCCTTAACCACCACACCGTGTGCCAGCCCCTCCTTAATCTTAAAGATTAAAATTACTTTCTTCTCACGCACCATCTGCGTCCAGGCAGGCTCCCGGAGAAGGTTACTGCTGAGAAAACTGCAGACGTCCTTGAAGGAGCGCATTAATTGACCTTAATTGGCTGTCTCTTGAGAGAGGGGCTCTTATGTTTTCACAAGTTAAAAGTTTGCCACCGAGAACGTCAACTCCTGGGACTTCCATCACAGAAGTAGGGAGGCCGCAGGGCTGTCTGACAGCGGGCCAGGGTCCGCGGCTGGCTCCACTCCTGCTGCTGTGGAGGCCGGTGCACCTGGCCCGCTTCCCGCGCTCACGCTGGGGCTCTGGCCGGGGTGAGACCCAGTACGGCAGGCGCTCACTACCTGAGCCTCACACTGCCATGCGTGTCAGGCAGCGGGGGCCAAGATTCAGTTACTACAACCCGTAACGCGAAGCATTGCTTACCAACGTGTACGGCGCTTCCAGGTCAAGTATTTATCATATACAAGAGTTTCAGATTTCACTCGGTAATACAATGACCAGTTCTACTCACCAATCAGCACTTTCCCCTAAGGTATAGGCTGGCACCTCTGCGACTCGTGTGGCAGCCTGGTGGCAGCCATGGCTCCCTAAGGCCAGCCGCTGGGACGCCCAGCAGCCAGGCGGGGCCACCATCCACCAGGTGCCAGAGTGACACATGGCACCCGACAAGAATTACATGTCAGGGCCAATGGGGACTTGAACCTCCAGCTGCACAGTGAATTCCGAAGCCATGGCCACTGTCCCCTCATCCCACAAGGGTCCCAGGCTGGCCAGGGCCAGGGCCACTGGCTGCACTCACCGGCTACTTGTTCCGATACCAGGTGCTCCAGCGGCAGCCGGATGGAGTCGTGCTCCACCGTGCAGGTGACCACGTGCGGCACGGCCCCCTCCATCAGGCTTGGGTGCCCAGCTGCGTTCCCCCTCGAGGCTTGGTCTTCTCGGAAGTGTTTCACCGCAGAATGAATGACTAAGTTATTTGACTGCAGAGACACAGCAGGAAGAGCATTTGCAAAAACCGTCCCCAGGGAAGAGTCAGAGCGACTGTCGGTCACTTGTTTTCATCTGTGGCTAACACTTAGAAAAAGAAAAAAGCCTCAAAAAATTCAACTTCTTGAAATGCCAAAGAAAAACCCGAGAGCTAAACTTGAGAATTAATTTCCAGTCAATTACGCCTGTTTTGTTGTCCAGCAACATTATAGATTCTGAAATTTTATAAATACGAGGCAAAGGGAATCCCGCCCCGGCCCCCTGCACTGGTGGGTGTAGGAGTCGCCGTTCCGGGGCACGTGGTGGAGCTGGGACGGCCCCCCACCCGGCGGCTCTCGCTCTTGGCACTGCTCGCAGCTGCCCTTATGCCGAGGGGGCCATACACGGGCCGCCCACTAGGTGTGGCTCTCCGTGTGCGACACCCCCGGGAGGGGCTACGCCTTCTGCATGCCCACAGGGGAGGCCTCCAACACACTGTGGGGGTCTGAAAAGGCCAGAGTGACGCACGGCGCCCACAACATGGACGGGACGAGGCACGCACATGCCACGTTGCCTGTGCAGGGACACCCCGGGGAGGGAGACGGGAGAGGACCGTGTACATGCTTGTCCGCCGACCCCGGGCTCCCGTGGAGAGGAAGTGGCCGGAGGAAGTGAGGGGTGCGGTGGAGGACATTTGGAAGGCACCTGTGTTCTTGTAGTTACACGCAGCAGGTAACTACGGAGGGGTGCAGCGACACGCGTGCAGTGAGTCCCTGAGCGTGTGAAGCCCCTCCAGGGCCCCCAGTGCCACCCTGATTCTCACAGGGATCATGTCCGTACTGTCAGGCACGTCTTCCTTCCCGGGAACAGAGGGACCTAGACCTCCTCTAGCTCAAGGCCACCTATTCATGGTGTGTGTCCCACGCAGGGCCTTGTCCCGCTGGGTGGCCACCTGTGGCACTGGGGTATGCACTGTGCTCAGGATACCCCAGGGGCCCCACTGTCCCGTGGCCACCCGGGAGGGCTGGGGGGCCGGTGTGGAGTCACGCCTGATCTGAGAGCCAGCAAGCCGAGTCAGGGAGGACGAGCCAGGGACAGCACTCCCGCGCTTCTCAGACAGGCGAGTGGTTCCTGATACCCAGGTCCTTCCTCGGAAAACACGGATGCCCAACACAGCGGCCTGGGCCAGAGGAGAGGGCTGCTGGCCCCGTGGCTGGAGAGGCCCTCTGACGATGGCCGTGTGAAGTGGCCCACACGACCCGGCAGGCACGTTTCTTCCAGGCTTGGCAGGTGGCTGCAGGGCGTGCTGTCCCGGTGGCCCTCAGAACATCGGGAACGCCCGTGTCCTCCCTGGGCCCTGACACTCCATGGCGCCTGCCCCAGGCTGAGATCAAGAGACCCCGTCAGGATTTGGAGCACCTCCGCTGGGGCTGGGGTGGCTCCTCCTGGGGAGCCCCTGGGGAGGCCGTCCTGGCTGGGGCTACAGCGTCAGGCCAACCCCCCTCGGCTGGGCCGCAGCAGCTCAGCTGGCAGGAACCGTCTCTTCTGACCCACTTCCACACAGATCTCGCTGGGCTCCTGCTGCTGTGCGGGGCAGGGGCTCCATGGTATGGTGCTATCACAGGGCTGTAGTGGGGTCCGTTCTAAGGCTGAAAGGAGCCAGGGTCCCTGCTCCCGGGGCTTCTGCAGCCGTCCTGGGTCTCTGTCTTCAAACCCAGGAAGCACCCCCAAGTGCAGCTGCCAGCCGGGATGCTCCCCCTCAGCAGCACCAGCCGATACCCACGTCCACCCCAGCACTCGCCAGGCCCAGCCCCGTCTAGCTGTGAGACCAGCCAAGGTGGCGCCCAGGGTGGGACTGGGGCCACCCCATTTCCGACACAGTTCCCGACCTGCGCCGTGGCCAGCACCACCCACAAGTGTCTTGGCTCCACCACCTTCCTGCAGGAATGTGGACACGCTGCCTGGCTGGTTCCTCCTCCCAGGACCATGTGGCCTCTCCCGGTGAGCCTGGCATTCTTGCTTCCTGCCCACTTTCCTCCCCGGGCACAGCCTTTCCACAATCGCCAGGAGCCCCTCCATGTTGGGGCCACGGCGTGGCACACTGCAAGGCTGGACCCACCATCTGGACCGCCTTTTTTGTGTTTTAATTGCTAGAAGGTGTGTGCGCTTGCCAGTGAGAGAACAAGAGGAAACACCCCGATGGGGCCTGGTCACGCGGCAGTCCCTGCTCTCCTTCTCCATCCCGTCAGAATCTGAGGCACACACATGTGTCCAGCATGTTTTTCAAGTCACTGGGGCTGGGATTCAAACCATAGTCAGCCATCAGGAGCTGGCTTCCAACGCACAGTGCTTAACCGCTGGGCCACAGGGCCAGCCCACACTTACCCTTGTCTTTTCTTCCTTGTTCTCTGGTGAGCCGGTTAGTTTTGTTTCTGCTGTGACAGAATTCATCAGTGTTTCCTTCATGGTCAATGCTGTCCATGTTTGATGTAAGAAATCTGATACTTGAATATCAGAGACACTAACTTACCACCTAACGGTGTCATAAAGTCCACTCTTCACAGCTGGCTTTGCTGAAGCGGACGTCAGTGACCCTCCACCACTGACACGACCACCCTGTCTGCCACTTGGTCTCCACCCCTGGCCACGGAGGATGAGCTGTGACCTGCCGTCCGGGCCATGGTGAGGAGTGAGGGGTAAAGGGTGCTGTTACGGTGGCTCCAGCTCAGCAGGTGGTCTTGGGCTGTCTTGAGCAGAGCGGGTCACACTCATCACATGACAGGGTCACACTTTTTTGGGGGGGAGGGGGAGTTTTTGTTGTTGTTGTTGTTTTTTGCTATGGGGTGTGTGCACTTGCCAGAGAGACAGAAAGCAAGAAATCACCCCCAGGGGGGATGGCCACGCCACAATCCCTTCTCCTCCATTCTCCTCTCGGGATCTTGGGCACGCACGCATCACTGGGGCTGGGATTCAAACCATAGTCAGCCATCAGGAGCTGGCTTCCAACGCACAGTGCTTAACCGCTGGGCCACAGGGCCAGCCCACACTTACCCTTGTCTTTTCTTCCTTGTTCTCTGGTGAGCCGGTTAGTTTTGTTTCTGCTGTGACAGAATTCATCAGTGTTTCCTTCATGGTCAATGCTGTCCATGTTTGATGTAAGAAATCTGATACTTGAATATCAGAGACACTAACTTACCACCTAACGGTGTCATAAAGTCCACTCTTCACAGCTGGCTTTGCTGAAGCGGACGTCAGTGACCCTCCACCACTGACACGACCACCCTGTCTGCCACTTGGTCTCCACCCCTGGCCACGGAGGATGAGCTGTGACCTGCCGTCCGGGCCATGGTGAGGAGTGAGGGGTAAAGGGTGCTGTTACGGTGGCTCCAGCTCAGCAGGTGGTCTTGGGCTGTCTTGAGCAGAGCGGGTCACACTCATCACATGACAGGGTCACACTTTTTTGGGGGGGAGGGGGAGTTTTTGTTGTTGTTGTTGTTTTTTGCTATGGGGTGTGTGCACTTGCCAGAGAGACAGAAAGCAAGAAATCACCCCCAGGGGGGATGGCCACGCCACAATCCCTTCTCCTCCATTCTCCTCTCGGGATCTTGGGCACGCACGCACACGCGCCTGGTGTGAGTTTAAGCCACCGGGTCCAGGACGTGAACCGCAGTTGACTACATGGGAGTCCAGTGACATAGCCATTACGCTAACTGCTGGTCCCCAGGGTCACACGTTGACGGCTCTGTTTTGGGTCTGCTTTCTGTCCCTGCCCTGAAACGACTCATCAGAGCTTTAGGACAGGCTTGACTTCGGAGCCAAGTCTCCTCCTTGGAATCTTCAGGAAGGATCAACTGCCCTTGGCCTTTTATTTCCATGAAAATTAGTCTGTGAGGCTCCCCCAGTGAAGTGTCAGAGGCTGCACTGAGGGCACAGCTCAATTTGGAAGTGACAGGTTTACAACACAGAGTCTGCTGTCTGCACGTAGCTGGGAACCCTGCGGAGGCTCCCATAATGCTCCTAACCCCCGTGGGGATGCCCTGTCCACGTGGCCTCCCTGGACCTCCTTCCCCAGTACTGGGCACATCCCGATGCTCTGGTCAACACCTACTTGTCGGGGTACAAGAGTCCATCTGGCTTTCATATCTTAAGACTTTGCTACATTTTCTTTCACTCTAACAATCCAGCTGCAGATTCTTCTGGGTTCCTGCTTGGTCAGGTCAGCATGGACGGCCGTCGTGGCTGCCCTCCCAGAAGGTGATGGGAAGGGTGGGTGTCACTGACTGAGCAGAGGCCGGTGACGCTGCCTCTGACCACCTTCCATCAGTTCAGAGATGAGTTCCTCTGGGATGATTCAGATCTGAGCTCTTAGTAAAGCTAACGACCTCGTAGGGATTCGAAGGGATGAAGCCAGGACAAAAGGACAGGGACACTGCACTGAAATAGCAAAGTGAAGCATGGCCTCCTCACGACACCGCACGGCACCACCACTGCCAGCAGCGCCCGGCCTTCACTCACAGGGTAACGGAGCTAACCGATCAGGCTAACAGGTAACTCCCAGGAGAGTCACTCTCTCTAAAACACAGAAAGCGCCGAGAGGGCGCCAGCTCCCCAAGGCACAGCAGCAGCGCAAGGCTGCCGAGCAAGAGGGCACCGGCTCCCCACGGAGGGCGCGGCTGCAGACCCGGAGGGTGCCAGCTCCCCACGGCGCAGCAGTGCATGGCTGCAGAGCGAGAGGCTTGTCACTTTACCTCGGTGCCCCCCGAGGTGAAGACCATGTCCTGGGGCTTCGCGCCTATCATCTTCGCAAGGTTCTCCCGAGCCGCATCGATGAGCTCCTTGGCCTTTCTACCTTGAGAGACCAAAAGGGAAAGTCACGAACATCGCCCGGCAGGGCCCCAGCCATGCGTCTGGGCGAGCAACCGCACGCAAGGGACCAAGGGCTCTGAGCGGGCGAGCCTGAGGCCAGACGCACCTGCGGCCCGGAACATGGCGCCACTGGGCCGTGGGGCAGCAGGAAGACATTCGCCAGCTGGTGGGAGCTACTGAGATGTACGGGACGTGACGAGAGCCGACACAAATACGGGGGCCGCCTGAACCCTCAGCTCCCCAGCATGGGGCTGGATTCTTCCCAGATGCTAGAGGTTGGGGAGCTGCGGCCCCCGGCTCGCTCCCCGCTCACCAAGATGAGAGTAAAAGATGAAGGAACGTGCCTAAGATCACGCTGTCAGACGGCAAAGACAGCTCCTGCCTCCTCAGCAGGTGCAGCGCCACGCCTGGCCCTGCGGCCACCTGCAAGCGCCAGGATGTCCCCTGCCTCCCACCCAGCTGCGACCCAGCTGCAGGCTGCGGGAAACACAGGAGCCAAGCTTCACACAGAGAGCAAGAGAGGCCCTGGGAGGGGGACTCGGAAAATTTCAGTGACCATTCTTAGTCCAGACCAGTGGTCCCCTAGCTTCTAAAACTAATCAGTGTTATTAATAAAAAGAATTTGAATAGGCACCACTAAATAGATATAATATTTCTATATTTACCATAAATATTTAGTATAAATTTATATATCCATATTTATATATTTACTATAAATATAAACTTACTGTATATATTTAAATAAAATTTCATAATATAAGCTTTCTTAAATACATATTTATAAATTTATATCTACTTGTATATTTATATACATATATTTAAATAAATATTTTTATACATAAAGGTCATAAAAATAGAAATGTAAAAAGATGAGCCAAAAAGGAACATGCAAAGTAGTTCTCACACACCTTAACGCTGCTGCATAGACTTTAAGTACTGAGGTCTGTGATGCTTAGGAAAACCTAGTCCTTTTAACTGGCGGTAGGTTAAAGTCCCGCAATCAAAGGCAGGAAGTGGGTGGAGGCCGCCTGGCGCATGCCCTCGGTCCCACGCGGACGTCCCGTAGACCCTGTCTGCAGCCTCACTCCATCCTACCTCCTCCTGGATCCTGGGGAAGCCCCTCTCTGAGCAGCCCTTGGGCCAGTTCCCAAGCAGCAGCCCTGCTTCCTTCCCGCCTCTGCCCAGGGCAGCCTCTGCCCAGCTGGGTGTGGAGGTTCCCGACTTTGCCCAGTGCACACGCACCTGCATGTCCGTGCTTCACGGGCTTTCTTCTTGTTAAAAAATGGGTTTCCTCACTTACATATAGCTCTACAAGAAATTCCCTTATTCCACTCACCAACAGGTCTAGAGACGTCTAAATAGGACCGGGGCCACCTCACTCACACGACCTACCCGTCAGGTCGCTAAGTTAAGAGACCAAGGTAGAAGTTCCAGGTGTTCAGAGGACGTGGAAGAACTGAACCGTCAGACACTGTGTGGAACCGAGAACGGTGAGAGCACCTGCAGCCAGCGGGCCAGCTCCTCGCAGAGTCAAAGATGCCCACCACGTGACGCAGCCTCTTGAGCACCTGCAGCCAGGCGG